ATACCCCATAGGCTGTTTAGTACATCCCAAAATATCCAAGTGGTTGGCAACCTTTTTGTTCTATTCTTGGTATTATTTTCTAATTGTATTACATTCAGGTTATGGGATGGGAACAAGAGGACTCTATATGGTCTATTTCATAAAATATTCTATGGGTTCTTGTGAAGAGCATGTGTTAACTATCAGAGACGGGTTTTCCATAATTCTATTTCATAAATCTGTTTTGCTGTTTTGTTTAAAACTTCGATATGCTGCCTCCTCTGGGAGTTCCTTTAGATTTGTGGATCTGTGAACTTCTTTTTGTCTAAATAGTCTTCCTCTTGTCCCATATCTGATTGGTGACTTGGTAGGGTATACAATTCTAGGTGAGAATTTTTTCTCAACACATTGAAAATTAATGGTCTTTGTGCTTAACAACTGTTAGTATTCCATTGTAAATAATACACCATTCTCCGGTGGTTTACAAGGTTTTGTTTATGGTAGTCAGCAGTTTAACCCTTTTGTGCCATGGGGCATATATTGTCTATCCTTTTCAGCCTGCTGACTGTAGTATGTGCTCTGCCTGTTTGGGACCTGTATAATTGTGTGAGTCTGAAGAAACAGGCTTCACCCCACCTTTCCTACCACCAGAGTCCACTCACTCGGGACATATGTGCCCCACATAATTCTATCAAAGAACTAAAAAAATGTCCCCCTAGGTTTCAGTATACCTTCCCTTATAGAAAACATACGGTATCAACAAAAAATTCAAAGCAGAAAATATTTGGCCTTCACTGTCCTTTCTGAATCTGTTGAGTTGTATCTTTCAACAAGTTGAAAAGCAACCCTGATCAATTCTAATACTCTCTTCTTCCTGGAGTTCCTCTTCTGATGTACAAGGAGGGGGGGGGGGCTTCAAAAATTCCATGGAAAATTTCCATGATCTTGTAATTCTGTTTTTCCTGAATTCTCTGTAGTTTTGTTTAATTAATTCACTCTTTGATCTGCCCACTTAGTGATAAGCTCAGTGGCTATCCATTGTATTTCTAGAAGCTCTTATCGCTGTTTTTTCTCAATTTGCCATCTTTCCTGAGACCATCCGTTTCTGAATTGAGATCCTGTGCCCCCTGCCCAGTGGGGGGCAGACAGAAAGAACACACAGCACTGACACTGATAGTGGACAGTGATGGCACTTGGCCATGGGTGGGAAACAGGAGCCAGCCCAGAGGGGGAATGGGCTGTCTCCTAAAGAGGGGAGTCCAAAGGCTGCACAGTAGAGTCCACAAAGGAGCTGCCAGCCACCCACAGGCAGCTTCTCTGCACCTGTGACTGAGGCGGCTAAAAGCTTGTGTCCTGTTGTCAAACTCGGGGGGCCAGGGAATTCTGCAGTCATTTATGTGAGGGTAACGTCCCAGATGGAGCCTTGCTCCTCTAGACACACGTCACTCTGTGTTCTGCAGAGAAACCTAGAAAGTGTGGGACATGTACTAAGTAAGAGTGATTCAATGACACATAACTTAAAACCGAGGCAACTCATGCTTTAATAACACTGAAGTCACAAAGGAAGAAGGCCAAGTGCCTTAGCAATCTCAATAAAAATATGAAGTGCTTTTTACATGGTCAGTTTTGTAATATAAAAAATTGTAATGCCATCTGGAAACTGTGTCATTTACAAAAACATCCATGTAGGCCAAAGATGGCTAACACTGCATATCAGGGGTGGGTGCCAAGTGGAGAGGGGTCCCCCAGGAGGCGGCACAGAGGTCCTTCCAGGGAACATCTTTGAAGGATCTGGCACAGACAGCCCAGTTCACAAACCACATGTACAGTCATTTTAGTAAAACAACAGGATATGTGATGAAAAGCACCCAATCTTTACGCTTCTGCCTGCTTATTAAAAACACATGAAATTCTGTGTGGCACCTTTTCCAACCTGAACTGAAAGAGAGAAATGACAGTTCTCCTTGTGGGTCTGCAAGTGTGTGTGGAGATAGGGAAAACTTGGGACAGGCAAGGGAAACCCAGTCAGTGTCTATGGGGACCATGAGTTTACTCTGAAAAACTGGGGCAGAGGTGAGGACTGTTTTATTTTTCTTCATGCCAGTGTAGATCAAAATGGTAAGGGTTAGAAGCTCATTTTATGGGGGTAGTTTTACTGAGTTAAATCACCAGAGTCACTGAGGAATTTACTGGTAAGAATGAGGCCCGAGCTCTCTCCTTTGCTGTGGTCACACTGAGGGTCCGAGGAGAGGAGGGTGACATTGTGTGTGCCTCTGAGGGAGTTGAATGGGGGCAGGGCATGACAAAAAAACATATTCAATACTGTCTGCAAATGGTCAATAGTTTTTGTAAACTTTGCCCACATTGACTCACTCTTCCTAAGTGGAGCAGAAAGCCCGTGTTTCTTTGTCCTGTGGCTCCTGCATGCCAGCTGAGCCCAGGGCACTCCTTGTCCCTGGAGCATAGAAACAGAACATTGTTCCAGTTGTATTTCCTCTCATCTCTGCTAGAGTCAGCCAACTTCTTAAAAAAGGTCAGGTATTAAATACCCACAAAGCCTAAAATACGAGGGAGCTTCAAAAAGCTTGTAGAAAAGGGAATGAAAAGATAATATAATTTTTCCACAAACTTTTTGAAGCCCCCTCATATTTGAAGCTTTGTGGGTGGGCCAAGAGGAAAAATCAAGAATATTGTGTAGGGACTTAGCCATTTAAGAATATGAAAACCATTCTTAGCTTGTGGGTTACAAAAAACTAGACTGCTAACCAGCTTTAACCTGTGGGTCGTAGTTTCCTGACCTCTGACTTACACAAAGGTGTCAAAGGAAGAACTCTAGAACCTCACGATTTTCAGTGCACATTTTTTTTTCAGTGTAGCTTGCGAAGTCCACACTTTAATTTCCCGCTATTAATTGTCACACAGACGCATGAGGCATGTCACTCAACACACACAGTGAATGGGCGATTCTTTGTCTTTCCCTCTACTGAAGCTCATGTCTAGGACCAAAAGGAAACAAACAAACAAACAAACATACTAGTAGACCATTTTGACTCTGCAATTAGAAATCTAAAACAACAATGGATTTAAGGATGAAAGCTGGGTGAGAGTTGGTGAGTCTTCCCAGCTGACTGAAACCTACAAGGAGAAACTTCATGGCAATGGCTGGAGTGAAGGGGGTGTTCCCTAGCTGCTGACAGCTGGGGCCCCGTGGCACTTGGGAGGGAAGGCAGCTGACTGCTCACTATAGACACACGGTTTATTTAGCCTTTGCAGCTGAAAACCTGATCTTCCCATGGAAATGAACTGAGCATTGCTCCTACTGTGGCTCTTATGTGCATACTGACACTATAGGGACTGTGTATTTTCTGTGCACAGACAGATGTCCTCACAAAGTGTTGGGATCAGCTATAGGACGCCGGATTATTTGCTGTCGAGTTAAATGCAGAATCTTCTCGGACACAGCTCAGGGGACAGACACAGAGGGACTAATGGTTCTCCCTTGCAAGGAGCTGCTGTGGAACGGGGCATGCTCAGTGTGTGTGTAAAGTGAGAGTCTCCCCAGGGATGAAACTTGCCCAGGAGGGACATACCGTCACAGTGAGGATGGTCAACTCAGACTATTAGAATCACCTCAAAGATGCTTATTTAAATTCTCCAACTAATATGAATAGGATTTTCAGGATTTCTTTAAAATAAATTAATGGTTACCCCTGCCTAGACTACTCCTTTTCTTGTCAGCTGACCACGTGTCAGCCTACTGTCATCGTATGGGAAAAGCTTGCATTCATTTTTAACGGATCTATTGCCCTGCTGAGCAGTGATGTGGAGGTACGAGGATGGCTCCAGCTAAGGGAAGCTGCTGGGATTGTGTGAACCTGGCAATGGATGGAGAGAGAAGAGGTGTTACAGGCCTGGGGTTAGTAGGTAAAGACTAAAATCAAGCAGCTTGAACAAGGAAGGTGAGGTTCTGGTTACACCTAGTAGCTGTGGACATTTTTTTCTTTCTTTTTTTTTTTTTTGCTCATAAGGAAATTGAATAATTTCAACCTTTCTCCCAAACTTGACAATTACTTATTGTAGACTATTCAAAATTTGACATTTTTAAAAAACTTTTTGAGTTTTTAAAAATAATAGCTATAAATGCAAAGTACTGTTGATAATAAAACCAAGTTGTTTATCTGCATACAAAAAAGGTCAATAATGTTTTAAAAGCACAAAGTTGCATTTTAAATCACAATTGCATAGTTCTGAGATGCCTGGATAACAGTTACATAATTTTTTTTTTTTTTTCAAATTCAAGTTTAGTTGACAGTGGGGCCCAAAAGGACATTTATATAGATGGAAGCATGGTGTCAACCTGAATTATTGCATTGTTACTGTGGGGTCATGATGGTACGAGGCCAAAACTGCTACAACTGAATTAGAAATCCTTGGCATTAAAAAAACAACAACAACATTATTCTGTTTTTGGCGAATATAGAACCCATTGAACTTGGAGAGGTTTTATATATTACTCCCACCCCCACCTCCACCCAGCACCTGAAAGCCATAAAAGTAGCTTTATTTGTGCGGTTTCTGTGTTCTCTAAAAGGCAGTGCGTTCCACCTCTTAGCAAAATGTGTGCTCCCTTTCTCTCCCACCCCAGAACCATGGCCATTTTGTACGAATATCCTGGTGAAGAGTCACAGCGGAGATGAGAAGCGAGAAGCGGGAGGTCAAAGGTAAACATTTGGTGAAGTGTGTGGAAAATCCCATGAGCCTCCTGTCCCCACCCAAAGCCGCTGGCCGTGTGCTTGGTAGCGTTTGGGCAAGGTGATGCCTGGAGGCCTCTGCCAGGAGGCGGTGCCCTCAGGCAAGGCAAGTAGGCAGAGGGAATGCTGAGGCCCTCTGTGGGCTGCTGCGCGGAATCCGTGGGG